TTAGATAGATAAATTAAGCTTTTATTTTATTATTATTATATTTTTAGACTATATTATAATATTAAATATATCTAACAAAATTTCATCTTTTGAATCAAATCTTGTAACTCTGTTAATTTTTTAAAATCTATTATAGATCTAAACTTCTTCTGAACAAAAGTAATATTATCGTATCTACATGAATAAAATTAATTATTTAAAGTAGATTAATATCTGATAGCTTATTAAATTAACTTCTGATATAACTATTATATAAAATCAATAGATATTTGATAAAAAAATTAATAATTTAGATTAAATCATTTATTATAAAGTTTACTAAGTAGTCTATAACAATTCTCAATTAAAAAATATCAACTTCTCTGGAATATATTTTTTTATTATATTTGCTATTATTTTCTGAGCTTTAATAATTATCTCAACCTTTCAAGTATAATATACTTTATAAATAAATATAATTACTGTATTTTTAGATACTCAAGTACTATTGAGTAAATATATATATATTATAAGATAATTAGTCTTTTATTGATGAGAACTGATTAGCTAACTAATATATATAAACATCATATGAGATGATATAACTATAATATAATTATACTCAGCACCTTCTATATATCAATAAATGTATTTTATAATAGTACAGCATTTAATAATTTTTTAATAAAAAATATATTTATAGTTTTAATTTTCATTAAGTTATTTTATTATTTTAAATAAAATAATTAACTTTTTATATAATTAAATAAATAAGTTAATATAGTATAAATTAAAATAATTTAATATAATTTAAAAAAAAATAAAAAAAAATTAATAAAAAATTTTTAGTAAAAGTATTATTGAAAATATATTCTTAATTTTTATAAATTAAATATCAAATTTATTTAAAATTGAAGTTTATTCTCTAGAGATAATTTTTATTTTCTCTATAATTTTAATTAAAAACTTTTTTTCTAATTCAATATTAAATAAAAAGATTATAATATATTAATTAATTAAATATTTTTATTTTAATTTCTTTCTTATCTCACTATTCAATAAGTAATTCATTAGTATATGATTTGAATTTTTAACTATATCATAAAAATCATATTTATCAAAGTTTAAAGAATCTTTAAATCTTTTCATATATGAATGAAAGTAGTTATATTCAAGTTTTAATTATATAATAAAGAAAAATATTTTCTTTTTATATTTTATTGATGTAAACTTTTAATTTAATTTTATTTCATATTTTATATACTAAGTACTTTTCTTCTTTTCTCAAATATTTAGTTATTTATTAAAATATAATTCTTTAAGTTATTTTTTGAGTTTTAGTTTCAATCTTTACTACTAAATCTGCTTTTTTATTTTTTTTAAAGTATCTAGTAAATATTTAAGATAAATAAATCTATATATTTTTAATTTTATTTTTAATTTTAATTCTTTTTACTATTTTTTATTTGATTACTTTAAAATTTATATTTCTATAGTCTTTTCAATACTATTTAACTATCTGAAAATATTTAAATATTATTAAGTTAACTAAATAGTTATAATATGAATACTTAATTGAGAATTAAAATATGAAATAAAATAGTAATTATATATAAGAAATTTAAAAATTAATGTAAAATAAATTAATTTTTGAAGAGATCAATTCATTGCTCAATGATGTCTGCTGCTCAGCAATGAAATATATTAATGTAAAAAGTTTTGATATTATATTTTATATTATAAACTTTAAAAATAAAACAAATCATTAGTTTCACTGCATTCAGAGCAGTTTTATTCAGTTCTTCATATTGTAATAAATATACTCATTTATTATTAATTCTCTCTATCATCACAGTGAGACTGAGATAAGATACAGAAAAAGATAAAAGAATAAAACTTGTAAAATTACAGAGCAAAAAATATAAAATTACTAGAAAATATATATAAAATCATTAAACAAGACAGAGTCAGAAGAAAAACAAAAGCAGAAGAGAAGATATATATATAAAGATTTCAAAAGCCATATAGAGACTAGAGTGGTTGGAAAGCAGCACATTCTCAGTCAGTGGTGCGAAAGGGAAACACATAACTCAATAGCAAATGCTACAATTTAAACCAATCGGGGTTTGTCGGCCATGTTAGATTGATATATAATATAACTTCTTTTAAATGATTTTCCCCCCTTTTCCTTTTGGCTTTGGTAATGTGGCGATTGAAAGAAATACAGAAGTGAAAAAGAAGAGGAAAAAAAAGTCAAGACAGTAAGGTATCAATTGAAATGACCACTGACACATAAGTGAGTGGTAAAGGAACATGAAAAGTAGAAAAACAAGGACCAAAAAAAAAAAATTGATGTGGTATACTAGTGACGATGACATGTCATGGGAAACGCAAAAAGGAAAAAACCAACAAGATCGAGCAAATCTGACAGGTATCAGGAGGCTGCGCCAAGTGTATGAATCATTCATCAGGCCCCAAATAAACCATAATTAAAAACAAGAGAACGCCAAACCGTATAAGAAAAGGAAATAAAAAGAGTGCAATGCAAATCCATCTAGTCAGGTGAAGCGCAAAGTAGTCGCTGGTTTCATATTCATATCCACCCTTCAGTTGTGGGGGATGAATGATTTCACCAACTATCCAGAAAGTTTGGAAAAATGCTTCGTCCAAATCCATCCAACCTGCCGCGTGGGGTCATCTTGATTTCGCGCCAGCCACAGATCGCCCTTCTCGCCAATGACATCAAATATCTCGCCAGCAACATATGTCAGGTAAGGATACCCGGCCTCCCGTCGCGCACGGTCGATGTTAAATTCGAATAAACTCGCCACGAGAAACAGAACTGACGGATCCTTTTTCTGCTCCGATTCATCCATGGGGGTTGCTGTCGGCGGAGATTCGGTCATGGGCATTGCTGATGAGAAGAAACCATCGGATCGTGTGGTAGGTGGTGATGACGGATGTAGAGCTGGTTTGGGCGTAGTGCCACGATTATTGCTGATTGCCAGTAGCGGATCCGCAAGGAAATCTTGAAGCATCGGTGGATCGAGAGAGAGCAGTGGCAGTGATGGAGAGATGTTGGAAGGTCGAGATGCGTAAGTGGTCCCTGCGTTTGTTGTGTTGTTCACTAGTGCTGTCATCGACGGAACGTGTTGCCCGTTTAGCATGTCAGATACACCAGTCATGCGGACGGAAAATCCAGAGTTGGTGCGTACTCGTCCGGCGGAGAATGCTTGGGCTCCATTATTGTGCGTTTCGTTAAAGCTGTCGGCCTGAAAAGACTGTATAAGACTGCCAGGGCTGCCGATGCTGGACTCGTACGACATCTTGGGTGAATTACTCTGCTCAAAGGAGGTCGATTGATTGGAATTGGAATTAGTAGTGGTATACGCAGTATGAATGTTCGCGCTGTTTACTGTAGAGGGTCTTCGAGAGGGTGATCCATCCGCTCTGTTTGACGCTGAGGGTGGGCTAAATCCAGCAAAATTTGCAACCTCTGCAAGTATCGAGCCATTGCAGATACCCAACGACAAGACTTGTGCATCACTGAAGGAGAAATCTGCAGACCAATCGGCCCCGATATGCTCCAGGTCTTGGGGGATTCGCTCGATGATATACCCAAGTCGTTTCTCGATCAAACCGAGCCAAGTCTTTTGGATTTCCACAAAGTTATTCAGGCACGCTTCGGTCAATTTACCGGTCAAGTCGAAAAGTTTGGTCAGTTCCTCCTTCAACGTCACATTCAGAGCAATGAACTGCTCCCCTTGCTCAATGGTTTTTTTGTCTGCCTTGTCGCCGCGGTCCTTGAGGGTTTTGTAACGGACATAATCCATCAGCCGTTTATTACGCTTTTGCATCACCCGTTGTGGTCCATCATGAAGCTTTAGAAGCGTGATCATAGGGAGAATCACGCTTTTCCTGACAGTGGAAACCTGAGAAACCAAGAAAAGCAGACCGTTAGCATTTCTTTTTCCAACAAGGTAATCAAGTAAAGCTTACATGATCAACCAGAGCTACAGTAAGGACATCGTTCACAGCGATCCTGAACTGACACCATTTACTTTCCAACTCGGGGTAATTTGACGGGGAAACATTGATATAGGACTCGATTGCAAGAACATATTCATGGAACCTTTTAAATGACGCCTGCACCTCCGTAGTGTAGAGTTCTACATCTCGCATGATCAATTGGAGCTGGAAAAAATTGTCCCCAAATTGCTGGGAGAGTACCAAAAATTCTTTATCTGCAAACATATCTGTGATACCGATATGGGCCTTTATTTTCTCTGTGCGCCGGCCGAATGCTTTGGAGAGTCCTGCACGCACGTCCGATTCCTTGCGCTTACGCCCACTGATAATTTGCCCAACTACATCGGCGCGTTTCTTCATATCGTTGATCCTCACGGATATGCTAGTTGTTTCACGGAGCGCATTCGTCAAGGCAGCATGGTCCGGGTGGTCCGGTGGGGTCGTGCCGAGAAGCTCCGTTAGTAATAGAGGATATTTCACAATGCGCTGAACCGGCTTCACAAGTAAAGAATCAAGGTTCCATGCGGATGTCAAATCCACCGCCCAGTCGCGGCATTCCTTCAGCCATATAGTGACATTCTTCTTTCGCAGGAGAACCTCAAGAGTTTTGTTAGCGGCATCATGATTCCGCAGGTATTCGGAATACACTTTCTCCATCCGCTCGATATTTTCCATGAACACCTGACCGATCGAAGTTTGGCTATCCTTTTCACCATCTGATAATTCTGAGGTTGGATTGGCTTGGTTATATGTCATGAAACCACTCGCCTGCACCAACCTACTTCCGCCACGCTTGCTTTTATATCGCTGGGACTGGGGTAGTACGTAAACGCTTTTAGCAGCGCGTTTTAAACAGTCCTGAAAATCCATCGAAAACTGGACAACCTGGTCGGAGTTCCCAAACAGGGTTTTGATATCATCCTGAGACAAATCCAGACATGAGCTGGAGGTTCCTTTGTAGATATCCACAACGACAGTCATGTCCTGACCAAAAGTGTGCTCCGTGTCAACTAATTCTTTTATGATATGTTTTCGCTTTTTAAGACGGCGCTGTTCGGGGGATGGAAAGGATTTCTGCACGGAAGTCTCCACACTAGGACGATCGACACCTGAGGAGTCTTGTGGTGTGGCTGATAATACCAGGTTTTGCGGAGATGGTGCTAAACCAGACTGGTGAAGAGAAGACTCTTCACTGCAACGCGTGCTTAGTTTCTGATCTGTAGATATAACCGAGACACTAGGGTGAATTAGTGAAGGAGGATTATTTGAAGATATACTTGGAGGTGATGTTACAGGCGGATGTACACCTGGTTCATGAAGTTGTTTAGCGCCAACACTCCGAGAGCCGGGGATGGGAGGGGGGGAGTGGTCGGGAAGTGGAGGCGGTCGAACAGTAGGTGAATCGTCATCTTGGGGAGTTTGGATATTGATCGAAAGACCAAATCCTTCATCAGGCTCTGTGGGTGCAAATTTGGGGACTGCAACGGGAAGCCGCGGGGTTTCGGTGCCATCACGGATCGCGCTCGGAGAATTTCCTGTACTCTCTTCCGACGCAGCCAGGTGCATCCATTCAGCGACAGACGGAGAAGCCTTCTCCCAGTCTTCTCTGAAATTCAAACTGGCGCGATATTGCACGTATTCTGGGTTTGGAACATTTACGGACTCAGGGTCGATTATGCTATCCTCACTCAGAACCTCAGTTTTCTGGTTATCATCACCCCGAGAGGAAGGTGGACGGCTCGTTCGGACACGTGTCGCAATTCCGAAATCAGATTTGAGTAAGTGGGATCCCTCGAACCCCAGTTCTTGTAAGAAAAGTTGAGTGACGCGTTTTGAATTCCATCCACCATGCTTAGCCAAATCGGGATACTGTTGCATCATCTGCGTGCTATACCGGACATTATGTGCAGGACGAGTGGATTGCTTCAGGAGATCCCCATCGCAGTGTTGAAATTCAATTTCTCCGGTGGTAGGAGAGTCAGCGCGTGGTTGTGAAACGAGCGGTTGAGGAGTGCGACTACTCTCGTCCGTGGATATGGGCATATGGGCATCGGGGTCTGATGGATTCTTCATTATTTTCTCTAAAGGAGCAACGATGAACTGTCGATCTTGAAAGGACGAGCTCCAGGAGCTTGTACTCCAGCGATGACGATCGCCATTGCTCCTAAAGTCGTCCGCAGCCTCACATTGATCTTGGTTGTCCCTGCTATTGTCCTGTGATTCGTCGAGGTAGCGGCTCCGCCCGAGCATGATTTGAATCGACTCCTTATCGTCCCTCTCAGAGAAAGAATCCGAATAAGCGGAGCTACTTGGACTGGATTCTCGCATTTGCATGATTTGACTGAGCACAGTCCGGTGGATCTGAGAAGATGGTTGGTGATAATCTGTTTGCGGTTCAGGATCAAAGGTTGTAATGTCGGTATCCACAGTCACCGCTGAAGCCGGGGCGATATCTGAACACGGCGTTCGAGTTCGAGGGACATCTAAGTTCTCGTTGGGCCGCTCGACAGGTTCCATAACTGAGCAGTTGTTATTATCTTGGCCGAATGATGTAACATGACGACCTGTTTCCTTACGTTCCGTGACATTGTTGACCACTTCCGGGGAGCGTCGTTCATCGGGTGTAACGAATGCATCATGTCCATCGCAGATATCAGGAGTCTCTGGGCAACTTTCCATTGAGACACGCGAGAGATCGTTTCTCTTGTTGAGTTGTGACTCCACTTGCGATTCGTCCAGCGATGACGGTTGCGTGTTTTTACTTCCGTCTCCACCCGCTTCTCTTTCTTCAACCAACTGACGTCGTTTAATGGCGCGTTCTTCCCGTTTCGCATTTTCCTCCACAGTTTTATTGAATGCCTGTTGGATCTTCCGTCGGCGGGCAGCAAAGTCGACATTCCCCAGTTCCGGAAGCCGCCTTGACTTTGTCTTTGAAGGTCTTGCATCCACAAGCGGAGTGGTAGACTGATTCTGTAGGGTTGATATTCTATCTACCACTCTAGCGCGTGACGCGGAAGTGGTCGCTGATGACACCGGTTGACGAGGTCGTGAACTTCTTAACTGGGGAGACTTTTTCGGAGGCGGCACGGATATATAAGTATTTAGAGTCGGGCTTTCTTCGGGAGTTAGGTGAGACGGCATGTGTCCCCAACTATGTTGTGAAGGTGACGTTATATTAAGGGTCGTCGGAGGGAGTTTAACATTAGGAGAGTGTTTTGAAGAATGTTTCGGAAGCGCACTGCTACCTTTGGGTGGAAGTCCTACGTGCATAATATATCGATCCATAGCTGAGTTGGCTCTTGTTGAATGTGCGGAGCCACCAGAATCAGATGTCTGGCTAAGGCGGCGGGTTGAAACCGGGATACGTGACTGAGAATTGCATATGATCCGAGTCCTCGTATTAGGAGTTGGTTGTAGGGTGACTTCATTAACGAGAATCCCCATCTTTATGTCTGACGAATCGAAAGATTTGGAGGCGGAGGAGGAAGCGATGGAAAGGTTTGGCGTTAAATTGCTTCGGAATCGCCGGTGAGCAACGGGGGTGTGTGTAATAGCTTTAGTATGATTAAAATATTCAAAGGATGGGGAGTATCCAAGATACCAGGCGGTAGGGGATGTTGGAGAGAGTGTGTTGTCAGGGTCTAGAGGTAAGTTGACAACCATCGGGTTGGGGGTGTGAATGCTACAATCCGAACCTCTCCGCCAACGGGGAGATGAAGTATCTTGACCACACAATCTGAGCTGTGATCGAGTAGGGATGATTTCACCAAACAACGGCTGTTTTGCAGGGGGCGATCCGAACGAATGGCGCCCACTGTCGTTATTTAACCACAGTGAACGCTGGCTCTGTCGCCCGGGATGCCGAGATAACGGGGGTGATCGATGATCTTCCCGTTCATTATCCCCCTTGTGGGTATGCTGTTGGGTACCACTCAGGCGGGAGTATGCGCTATCACAGGAAACGGGACTGCCGTCCCTCGAAGATGAACGTGAATGAGGGGGTTTCGTGGGAAGCGGATCCAATTTCTGGTTAAATCTATCCACTAGCTCCTTTAACGATGATTGCCTTTGTTGTGGGTTTCTTGCGACGGAGGAGTCGATTGAGCTGGGCCGAGAGGGGTTGAAAGAAGAGAATGAGTGGTATTGATGAGAGCGTGAGGAAAAAGGGGGATTGTTTGATGTCAGTGACGGGTTATTCGGAGGATAGCAGCCAGATAAAACATTCGACTTTCTCAAGTAAGAAGCTGAGGTCATATTGTTGACAACCGCTGCGGGACCATCATCACTGAAAGGATCATTGTATTGTAGATAGAAGTCGCGAGGGTCCGGAGAGGTTTCATCACTCGTAGGGTAATGTCGTCTACTAATGTGTTGGTTTGTGAAGTTTGTGGTGAGAGAGAGTTGTCGAGATGAGCCTGGGGAGCCGGTGGGTTTGTAGGTGGTTGCCGGGAGGAGCGGGAGATGAGAAGACAGGGATGAGGAGGACTGGGAAATGTCGTTATTACTCTCGAAGGCCTGATCTGAATTGATAGCCTCGAGACTGCTGACAGAGGGGAATTGTGGATTTTGATCCTGACGGTGAAAAGAATGAACAAGGTGGTTTAACGAATCGCAATTGCGTTCCACCTCATTAGCAGGCATCTTCCACAGAACCCGGGCAGGAGCTTTACCCAACCGAAAAAAAAAATATTTAAAAAAAAAAATATTATATATATTGTCGGTATTAAGAAAGAAAAAAAAGAAAACCTCCTCCAGGAGTAGGGTGACTCGTGGAACGAACGAACTGGGAAGTATGTGTAAACAGGGCGAGAAAATACGGGCCAGGGCCAGATGCGGGTAGGGTAGGCAGGAAATTAATTAGGGTATAACAGCACTTCTATTCGAAGGAGACGAGGACGAGAAACGAGCGAGCGACAAGTGGTCCAGCGTCACGACGTGGCGGGTGGGATGACCAGGGATTTCAGGTATCTGTCATCTCTTGTTGGTTGATGGATAAGATGAACGGCATGTTGAGGTGTCCAATTCCTCCAGCTTGTCACGACTCCAAATGCTCCCAAGACACAAATACGCAAACACGTCCCTTCGACGGTCTTGGGGATGACAAGAGCTCGCTAGTGGGAGGGCCAGGTCCTGACCGGCCTGGCGAGTTTAATGAGGTTTCGGTGAGGGGACTTGGATTCGGACATATAATGAGGCGTCGTCTGAAGAGACAAAAGTGAGGTAATCCTGACACAGATGGGCCCTAAATAAGGGACTTGATAAGAGAGACGGAGGGAGGACAGACAGATTAGTAACCGAGTTGAAACTTTTTATGAGGGGACAGGAAATAAATACTAATATGAAAATAGTCGTGTATAAGCAGGATGCAGAATGCAGGAAGCAAAAGTCGTGGCATAAGAATGAAACATATCAAACAAGACAAGAAGACAACACAAGACGCGAAAACAAATAGGGTTTAATATCAGGAAGTGCAAATCAACTGGTAGGCACAGTTATTTATTTTAATGTGTGACTATAACAAGAAAGTCTGAACTTTCTTAACACTAGTTGAGACTGATTATCCTGTAACTGATAATTGCCATTCAATCTGATTTCATTTCAATGCTCTGAGATTTAATGACAAACTTTGGAAATGAGATTTTGTTAATATTTAGTATATTTTATGAACAGGTTCACATGATTTAAACATTAAATATCTTCTATACATGCATCTTATACTTATTTATTGACTTCAAATATATTAGAATATCACATATATAAACTATATAGTATATATTATAAAGATTTAATATTATAACTCAATCTAAAATCAAGATAAATAAGATAAAAATTTTAATTTATCTATTTAACTGGACGGCTATAATAAGAATATTAAATTGAGAATTAGAATATTAAAATGAATAAATAGTTAAACTTAAATAATTAAGAATTAGAGTAAATTATTTATCAGAGCATAGCAGAGTATTATAATACAGTTACTTATTATAGCGCAGTTGCTGATAATATGAGATAAGATTAATTTATTTTTATTCTTAACTATTTATATATATTAGACTGCTTATTTATTTTCATATTTTAATATTCAATTTAATAATCTCATCATAGCTACTTAGTTAAATAGAGAGATTGAAGCTTTTATTTTATTATTATTATATCTTTAGTTAAGTTATGATATAATACTAAATTCTATTTTCTCATAAGTTTTAAAGATTGAATAAGTAGATCTTATGTTCATGTCCATGTTTATATTTATATTTATATCTATATCTGATGAAGCTTTTTAATAATTGTAACTATGTAAAGTACTTAAAATCTAAGTTAATTTTTAATTTTTTTAATTATTCTTTATTAGTTTTATTTTTATTATAAAAGCTTCTTTTGTTGCTTTTCATTAAAAATTTAAATATACTATTTAAAAGCTCTGTTATTAAAACCAATAGTTAAAGATTTAATATTAATCTTATAAATTAAATACTAGTTACTACAGATAGCTTTAATTAGATCTCAATTTTGTCTGAAATTCTAATTATTAAACTTTAAAAAATTAATTAATTAAATTTTGGAATTTAATATCTGACTTTTCTCAATTAAAGTTAAACTATATATTAATCAAACTGCTATTGAAGAGCTGATTATTTTGTTTTACAATAACTACTTGAATTTATATTGAAGTATACAAGCAATAATTCTATTTTAGCTAACTAAAGCTGAAAAAGCAAGTAATTAAGATGAAAAACAAATTATACAGTTTAAAGCAAAGCTCAAGTAAATCTTTAACAGTCTATATTACTAAGTTAAATGTATTTTCTATAATATAATAATATAAAAGTAGTTAAATTCTTTAAAAATTTTCTAATTTATCGGAGTTTTATTATGTTAATTCACAACAGTCTAGCTCAGCAGATGAATCTATTTTAGATCTACAAGAAATTTTTGTATATTATTTAGCAATTAGCTTTTAATTTATTATTATTATTATTATTTTTATTTAAGATGTATTCAATTAATAACTATAATATTTATTTAGTTAAAATTAAAATTAACTATTTTACTAATATATTAATAAATAGTAATTGAATTATATACTTAAAGAGTTTTATTTCATTATTATTATTATTATTCTTTATTTAAGTTGCATTCAATTAGTATCTATATAAGAAAATTGTAAAAATATATAAAGAGCTATAAAGAAAATATTTAAAAAAGAAAGTAAAAATCTTATTTAATTTAATATAGATAAAATTGAATTGATTTATTTTTATTCTAAAAAAATAAACAAGAGAAAACTATTATTCTTTAAAATAATGTTATATAATTTAAAACTTAAATAAGATAGCTGGGAATATGATTAAATTCAAAGCTTAACTTTAAAGTTTATATTTAAAAAATAGTTTCTCAAGCTGAGAAAACTTTGAATAATATTATTAAACTTTTTAATATAAAAGAAATTTATCTTTTCAAGTTATAAAATAATTATATAGAGTTGGTACAGTATCTATATCAGATTACATAGTATAAATTTAATAGAAAAAGTAAAAAAACTTTATTAGTCAATTTTCACTATTAAAAAATAAAGCTTTAAAAAGAATTATAAAAGCTATTAAAATATTTTCAGTTAAAGCTATAGAAATAAAGATTTTAATTCTATCATCAGCTATTAGATTTGATAAAACCTGTATGAATTACACTTCAAGAATTATAAAAATAAATATAAATCATCTAATTCAAATGAAAATATTTATTTTATATTCTTAGATATATTTGAAAAAAACTTAAATAGAGAAAGATTTCTAGATTAGAATGAATACTTTAATAATTTAAGAAGCTATTATCTTCTTAGCTATATAGAATATATACTATGATTAAAGATTAATTATCAAGCTTAAATATAAAAAGTTTAAATTATAATAAACTCTAATTGTACCTCTGCACACTTATATCTGATGTAAATGCGCCATAGTGTAACAATAAAAACAGAATAACAATAAAAATATAAATAATTAAAACTTCAAAAATTAATATCTCATCATCATATTGCTAATTTATGATAATTACTTTATCTATATTATCTGTAGTAGCTGTATTATTCATGAAATGTTTATATATATCATTAATCTCTTATTGAGTTGAATTTGTGGCATTTTTCTTCAAAGCTCTCTCAACATGTTTGACTCTATTATAATATTCTTTTTCTGCTTTCTTCTTTTTATATTACACAATTTTTCTATTTGCATCTCTGACAGTGAGTATATGTTTTACTTGAACCTGCTGATGTGTATTTTATTACTGCAATATTTGATTTCAAGATAGTAACTCTCAATCTCACTCTCTCTTATAGTATTGAGTTTTGTCTGAACAAGACTGTCTTGAAAAATCTTATTCAATCAATTACTCAAATGAGATGATTTGAAATTAAGTATATTCTTTATATCTTATATTGTCTTCTTTGCTACTCAAATATGATGTTGTAGCTTTTCAATTATCTTGAGTGAGAATAGCTGTGATGAAGCAGTATTTGAACAGCTTAATTGCAGCAAAAAGAAGTCTTCTTTATATATTTGCAACTCAGAGTAGTCAGGGATCTTTGAATCTAGCTTAAGCAATATAGATTATGAGTTGAATGAGACAATAACATAATTTGCAAAGTCAGTCTGAATAATAGAAGATTGAAAAGTTTTTTTACAGACATCAACTAGATTCTGTAAAAATTGACATTTTTTATACTACTCATATCTGTATCATGTTGCTTGATTAACTGTCTTTGAGTGATAGTGCTTATAATGCTGAAAAGACATCTTATCTAAAGATTGCAGTATATGAGTTGAATATGAAGAAAATTCATATAGAATGATTTTGTAAAAATCACAATATTATAGAAATTCTTCAATGAGATGAGATTTATAATTGTCAAGAAGCAGCAATTGATGACT